GACCCCAGGCAGGGGCCGCCCAGGGGCCAGGTGGGAGGAGCCACCCATGCGCCCAGGGCTGGCACCTGCCACACGCCCGGGGGCGGGGCCAGCCTAGATTGCTCCGTGGGTGCACATAAATGGCCCGGCAAGCGCCATGGCGCCCGCGGGCACCGCACTGGGGACCACTGCTGTAGAGGCTCCTACACTAAGCTTCAGAGGGCCCAGGTTCAAACCCACCCCGTGGCAACATACTAAGGGTCTGTTCAGAACGTGGGGCTGCCCGTGGGGCTGAGAATGAAACAGGAGCAGAGCAGGAGAAGTCAGGCTGACTGGGTAGCCAGGTGTCCTAAGCACAAGCGCTCGGAGGCCCCCTTGTTTTCCCCAGGGGTGTGTGCTGGGCACCGACCTGACCCTCCACCCTTGTGTTCTCCCCCCTCGCAGACCCCTTGAGCCCAGCCAACGTGACCCTAAGCATCACTGGGGAGGCTGGCTCCCTGCAGGCCTGCTGGGCCCCGCCGGCTGGAGAGAGGGACTATTATCTGGTGACCTTGCAGCAGGGGGAGAGCGGAGCCCTGGCCAGGAACACGTCTGTGGGGGGAGACGGCCTTGACATCAGCTTCGGCGGGCTGAGCCCTGGGAGCCAGTCCTGGGCCTCACCGGGCATCCTCTCCGAGTGCCACCACCTGGACAGGTCAGCAGCCACCCTGGGCACAGGAGGACAACAGGCTGGGTCGCTGCTCATGGGCTGGACCGTTGGAGGTCCCAGTGGGGAAGCCTGGCTCTGGAAGGCCCTAGAGGAGGGAGGACGGGGGCTGAGCAAAGGAGACTGAAGCTACTTATGAACCAAGGGGCCTCACCGGGCATCCTCTCCGAGTGCCACCACCTGGACAGGTCAGCAGCCACCCTGGGCACAGGAGGACAACAGGCTGGGTCGCTGCTCATGGGCTGGACCGTTGGAGGTCCCAGTGGGGAAGCCTGGCTCTGGAAGGCCCTAGAGGAGGGAGGACGGGGGCTGAGCAAAGGAGACTGAAGCTACTTATGAACCAAGATGGGGCCTTGGTCTGAGGATCAGGCCTCAGTGGATTTATTATGGAGCACCTGGGTGAAGGGGAAACTGAGGCTGAGTGCTGCAGCAGCACCCTGGCTAGAGGGGGCGCTGCAGAACAGGCATGCCTGTGTATCCCCCACACCGTGCTGCGTGCATGCTGTTGGCCACTCCTGCGTGCCAGGGCTGGGGTGAGGGTCTGACCCAGGCATGTGGGCTGGCCTGGCTCACGGTCACTGGGCCACGGATCGGGATTGGGGAGTGTCGGGAGCATGCAGCCTGAGGCCTGGCCTGGAGAGCAGTGCCAGAGGACGCCGCAGTGCCAGGCTTTCCCTGCATGGGCCACGAAGACAGAGCTCCCTTGCTGGGCTCACCCTGGCTCTGAGGCTGGCGAGAAGCCCTCTGCCTCCAGGGTCGTCGGCCCCCAGCGCTGAACTCCTTTTAAATGAGCCGCCAGCTGCCCGCAGAATTCGTCCCAGCCACGGAGCAGCCAGCGGGGGCGGGGGGGTTGCGTGGGGAGGGGCCCTGGCTGCCCTGGGCAGGGGGTTTCGGAGGGTACTGACCATTCTGCCTTGCAGAGCCGCTAGCGCCATCTGGGGCAACCCTCTCCAGCCAGGGGAGCACCTCCGCCCTGCATGCCCGCTGGAAGGAGGCCACGGGAGCCGGGTACGTGGCAGCGTTGTACTCCCTGGAGCCCCCTGCGCTGGTGGAGAACAGCTCCGTGCCGGGAGGCGTCACCCACCTCACCTACAAGGGGCTGAGCCCGGGGACCCACTACGCCGTCGAGATCAGCACAGTGGCTGGGCCTTACGCCTCCCCGCCCCTGCGCGTCACCAACTGGACGTGTGAGTGCCAGCAGTGCCCACCAGCGGGGCTGGCCGGGACGGAGCGGGGGTCGGGCACACCCCCGGGATTGCCGGGTTCGTCCTGGTGATGTCACAGTGCAGTGTTTGTGACATCACAGCTGCGTCCGTGGTGACGTCACTGACTAGGACAGTGGAAGGACCATTGGAGGTTAGGGGCACATGGAACCCCAGTGCAGCCCGGCGTCTGGACTAGCCCAACTGATCAGAGCGTAGGTGTGTCTAGCCCAGTCCCGGCCATGCTGCACCCGGCCATAGGCCCCTTTACTCAGCTATCTCCCCCTCACAATACCTGAGTGGGCCACACAGTCACGTGGTCCATTGTCCACCTTCCTCCTGTCTTAGCTCGGGCCTCAGGGCTACGCTGAGTCCAGCAGCCACCCCCGCTATCGGCCCAGCCGGCCGGCGTCCCACCTCCTGCCGCACTGGATCAGACCCTCGGTCCGTAGTGCAGCGACACTCCCCAGAATGCAAATCAAAGTGCCCTGCTGGCTCTGGGCGGAGGGTCGGCAGTAAAGGTCCCTCTAATTTTTTCCATCCATGTGTGGAATACATTTTATGCGCATTGAGGCACGTGCGGATGTGCACCACCAGGAGAAACACCAAACCTCGCTGTGGGCGCGCTGCTAATCAGCCGGATGATGTTGGAATCTCTTCTGGGCAGCTGCCCAAGCGCTCCGCTTTCAGGGAACGCTGGTTGGCAGGTGGCCCAGTAGGCGCTCAGCAGGTGGTCTGATGGCTGAGGTTTGTTTGCCCAGAGAATACGGGGCAGGATTCTGCCCTGGTCCCTATGGCTGGGGCAGCCCACCCGCTGGGCTCTGCCTTGGCTTTGACTCGGGTCCTTTTCTCCCGCAGATCCTTCCCCAGTGGAAGAACTGAACCTCCTCAACCAAGGCTGCAGCACCTCCTTGCTCGCCTCCTGGAAAGCAGCCGGCGGCAGGGTGAATTACACCGGCGTGCTCCTCGAAGCCCAGTCGCAGGCGTGGGTCAGAAACGTGAGCGTGGGGGGGAGCTGCGCGAACGTCACCGTGGAGGGGCTGAGCCCCGGGCGTCAGTATACCCTGCAGATGGGGGCGGTGGCCGGACCTTGCAGCTCCGTGGGGCGCGCCCCCCAGCCGGTCTGTGCTGGCTCTCGGGCCAGGGCAGAGGGGAAGGCGACAGCGGGGGGCTGGTTACAAGCGTGGCGCGGTGGCGCTTGGGGTGGGTTCAAGGAGGAGTGTGCAGAGGGGTGGCTGGCTGGGGAGGGGGCAATGCAGGTGGCTAGTTAGGGGGAGGCTGAGCGCGCCGGCGGAAGCACACGAGACTCCAGTACGATCGGTGGAATGAAGCCGAGACTCAAGCTAAACCGACACGGGCCTGGTTTGCCTCTCCCTGGCCCTGGTGCAGCCTGCACACGTGTGCTAAATGCAGGCCAAGCGCTCAGGTCATCCTGGGCACAGGTGTCAACAGCGCCTCGGGTGCCAGGCAGAACTGAATGGGGCCCTCTCTGCCAGGCCTGGTGCCGCTAATTCTCATGGTGCTCTGAGTCCGCATCTGTGCAGCTTTCCTCGGCACACGCGCCTGTCGCCCCCCACGAACGTCCGTCCCGTGCGCCTCTTTCACCAGAGCAAGGCGATCTAAGGCCCGCCCCTCTGCACACTGGTGGGGGTATTTCCTGCTTCTTGGGGCAGGAATTCCTCCGGAGGGGGAGGGGGGTGGGTCACAGGACCACCCGGCTTGCGCTGGCAACCAGCAAGGAGGGTGCCAGCTTCAGGCGTGAGAATGACTCTCCATGGAGCAGTGTGGCTCTCATGCCGCATGAGGTTGCCTGATCCCGACGGCTGCTCCTGTGCTTAGCAGGAGGCGGGCTATTGCTGGGGCCGGGCTGGGCAGATTGACAAATGCCGCTGGAATCTCAGTCCCTGACCTGCACTGTGACCAATACAAACTTGTTTTCTAACTGGGCTTTTCTGGGGTGCCCATCACCGGAGTATCTGGGCACGTCCCCTCCCACCCGCCTCCAGGACCCTGGGAGCCAGAGAGGCGTTATTCCCATTTTAATGACGGGGGCGTGCCACGCCTGGCTGACAGGCTCGCAGAGATGGGCCTAGACTCCACATCTCCTGCTCCCCACGCCTGTGTCCACGCCCCCCTCCCCAGCCTGTCTCCTTGAAGAGCCACGGCTCCAGACCCCGGGCCTCCATCCACTCGGCATGGCACTCGCCACATCCCCAGCACAGCGGCCACGAGCCTCTTCCCCACCTCTCTCCTTTCAGACCCTTCGGCTCCGTCAGGCGTGGTCCTGACCAGTAGAAGACACCCCCCGGGTCTCTCTGCTGTCTGGCACACGGCTTCCGGGGACAGGGACCGGTTTCTCCTCCTCCTCTACGACAGCGAGCACGTGGTACAACAGAACGTCTCCGTGGGGCCAGACACTCAGAACTTCACTTTCCTGGGCCTTCTCCCTGGGAGCCAGTACTCTGTGGAGGTGCTGGCCCTGGCGGGACCCTACAGAGCCTCAGCACCGTCTGCCACCGCATGGACGTGTGAGTACAGCCTGGGGCCCGTGGGGAGGACTGCCTGCAGGGCGTGGGAGACTCTGGGACTATCCACACTTCGATCGGGGGGTGTCTGCAGCATGTGTAGATGTACCCAAGGTAGCTAGACATTCACAAGGGCAAGTCCTGCCTGGCCAACCTGATTGTCCTCTATAAGGAGGTACCTGGCTCTGTGGACATGGGGAGGTTGGTGGATGTGATAGACCTTGGCTCTAGTAAAGCTTTTGATATGGTCTCTTGGATTCTTGCCAGCAAGTTAAGAGAGTACGGATTGGATAACGGACTGTCAGGGAGATAGAAAGCTGGCTAGATTGTTGGGCGCAGCGGGTAGTGATCAATGGCTCGATGTCAGGATGGCGGGCGGTTTCTAGCGGAGTGTCCCAGGGGTCGGCTCTAGGGCTGGTTTTGTTCAATATCTTTATGAATGACCTGGATGAGGGGATGGATTGCACCCTCAGCAAGTTCACAGATGACACTAAACTAGGGGGAGAGGTAAATACACTGGAGGGCAGGGGTAGGGTCCAGAGTGACCTGGACAGATTAGGCAACTGGGCTAAAAGAAATCTGATGAGGTTCAACAAGGAAGAATCCCAAGCATTGTTACAGGCCGGGGACTGACTGGCTAAGCAGCAATTCTGGAGGAAAAGACCTGGGGACTACAGTGGATGAGAAGCTGGATATGAGTCAACAGGGCGCCCTTGTAGCCAAGAAGGCTAACCACATATTAGGGTGCATTAGGAGGAGCATTGCCAGCAGATCCAGAGATGTGATTATTCCCCTTTATTCGACACGGGTGAGGCCACATCTGGAGTTTTGTGTCCAGTTCTGCGCCTCCCACTACAGAAGGGATGTGGCTGCATTGGAGAGGAGGGCAACCAAAATGTTTTGGGGGCTGGAGCACTTGACCTACAAGGAGATTTGGGCTTTGGGATTTGGGCAGAAGAGAAGAGTGAGGAGGGATTTAATAGCAGCCTCCAATTTCCTGAAGGGAGGTTCCAAAGAGGATGGAGAGAGGCTGTTCTCAGTGGTGGCAGAACAAGGAGCAATGGGCTCAAGTTGCAGTGGGGGAGGTCTAGGTTGGATATTAGGAAAAACTATTTCCCTAGGAGGGTGGGGAAGCCCTGGGATGGGTTCCCTAGGGAGGGGGTGGACTCTCCATCCTTCAAGGGTTTGAAGTCCCATCTTGCCAAAGCCCTGGCTGGGATGATGGAGTTGGGGTTGGTCCTGCTTTGGGCAGGGGGCTGGACTCGTTGACTCTTGAGGTCTCTTCCAGCCCTGGGATGCTATGATTCTAGCTTTGAGGTGGCTAGCCATGAAACTGTGGCAGCCTGGATTGGTGTCAAGTTCCTGCACCTTGCTTATGAACACCAGATGTGTTCAGCATGAGATCCGTGGCTGAGGTTCGCTTTCAATGAGCTATCCAATGTGCAGTATAGCAGCACGTACTAAACATTCCGTCACATCTCTCCCTTTAAGTTCTACGTTCCTGCCCTCCGCAGCATTGACAATGCCACGCTTCGGGGTAGGTGGGTGGAAAATGCATTTTGCCTTCTTCAGCTTCACAGCAGACTGGCGGATTAGGCTTAGAACTTTGTAAGGGCTGTGTTGTTCCACCCTCGGCGATCCGTATGCCAGAGCAGTGTCTGTGAAAACGACAACTCTGTGTCCATTAGCAGTCCTGCCATCGTTGGTGCCCTTGAAATTTTCCAGTCACCCCAAAAGGTAAACGGTGAAAGCAAAATCATCCAAAGGCTGTGATAAAGGCAGTCAAGTTAGCACTTAATTTGGCGAAAGGAATTTGCCAGACTCTGCGTAAGTATCCAACTTTTAGAATACGGTTGGGGAGGAAGTCAGACCGCGTTGGGCAGGTGCATTTTTTCTCTCACAATTGCATCGTTAAGGAATTTAAGAGCCACACAGATGAATATTTTTCCATTTTTCTTTATAATTGGTACCACTGGAGCACACCACGCTGCTGGCTCAGATTTTCTCTACGGGTACATCTACACTGCAACGTAGTGTAGATTATTCTGAAATAACAAAGAGCGTGTCTACGCAGCAAGCTGTTATTTCAAAATAATGTCGAAGTGGAGGACTTCTTAATCCGACTCTTGTAACCCTCATTTCATGAGGAGTAAGGGAAGTCGGAGGACGAACACTCTTCCTTCGACTTCCTGCTGTGCAGAAAGTGCCAAAAGCCGAACGAAGCTTTTTTGACTTCAGCTACGCAATTGACGTAGCGGAAGTTACGTAGTTTAATTTGACTTATGCCCTGCAGTGTAGAGGCGCCTTATGATGCCAACGTGGTCCATTCTCTTTTACTCAATTTCCACTATTTGAGGCAATAGGAGAAAAACGCTGTGAGGTGTGTGTCTCATTATGTTACTGTACTGGATTTCCTTTCAAAAGTCCAGTGTCACCAAATATTCCACTGAATTCTTCCATCTTTATCGCCAGGTATAAATAGTTACATAAGAACATAAGAACGGCCGTACTGGGTCAGACCAAAGGTCCATCTAGCCAGTAGCCTGTCTGCTCACAGTGGCCAGTACCAGGTGCCCCAGAGAGGGTGGACCGAAGACAATGATTAAGCGATTTGTCTCCTGCTATCCCTCTCCAGCCCCAAAGACAATGATCAAGCCATTTGTCTCCTGCCATCCTTCTCCAGCCTCTGACAGACAGAGGCCAAGGACACCATTGTATCCCCTGGCTAATAGCCATTTATGGACCTAACCTCCATGAAATTATCTAGCTTCTCTTTAAACTCTGTTATAGTGCTAGCCTTCACAGCCTCCTCTGGCAAGGAGTTCCACAGGTTGACTATGTGCTGTGTGAAGAAGAACTTTCTTTTATTAGTTTTAAACCTGCTCCCCATTAATTTCACTTGGTGTCCTCTAGTTCTTTTATTATGGGAACTAATAAATAACTTTTCTTTATTCACCCTCTCCACACCACTCATGATTTTATAGACCTCTATCCTATCCCCCCTCAGTCTCCTCTTTTCTAAACTGAAACGTCCCAGTCGCTTTAACCTCTCTTCATATGGGACCCGAACCTTTGTTGAGAAACCTTTCTCTGCGGTATAAATTGTGGTGTCACAAGGAGGCTGAGAACGCTGTTGTTCTGTGGTCCTGGGATCACATACCATCTGAATGCACAGCTTTTGTCTTTGTAAGTTGTTTCTATGATGAACTGGTCCAGGGCGAGTCAGACCTGTGTCAGGTGACTTCAACTCTGGGACCTTCTGAGGTGCCTGTGACATCAGACGCTGAGTCAGTTTTAAAGTCAATCGTCTTGACAAGAAGCCTCAGTTTCACTCTCAAGGCAGGTAATTAATTGTAGACACAATGGCTTTTGATTATCTGCAGTATGGGTCAGCTTCCTGACTGCTTGGTGTGGCAAACAGCTGCAAACTGTCCATATTTCATGCCTTTCTATTGTGTGCCGCCAGCTGGACATGCATCGTTTCTTGGGTTCTGAGTTTTTCCACGTTTTGTGCATGTAGACTGGAATTTGTCCCGCTTAGCTTGGGAGTTCTCTCTCCCTGCCTCGGGGACTTTATGAGAATGATTTCTAACTCTCAAGCATCTGTTTACAGTTTCTAAGCTGGTTTCAGGTCTTTCAAGTTTGTCAAGTTTCGTTGTTTTATTGTTTGATTGCTCTGCTATTTGAATAACTGTGCATAGGGTTAGGTCTCTTTTTAACTGGAGCTGCTGTGAAAGGTTTTTATCTTTCAACCCAATACCTTGGTAATCTCTGATATTTTCATACGTTTCAGGGGGAAACTGAGTTAGTCTGTACAGGTGTGACTGGCACTATTCCTCGTGGAACGAGGTTTACCAACTTGGAAATAAGCCCTCTGCTATTTTGAATTAATTTCGAAATAGCAGTTGGCTTGTGTAGATGCTAGGAAAGTTATTTCAAAATAACGGCTGTTATTTTGAAATAACTTTTCTGTGTAGACATACCCTTAGTTTACTCCTGACGCCATGTCATGCTTCTGTGCCAGATATAGGCAGACTACGGAACTTGCTTGTACACCTGATGGGTTCATCCTAAAACTCTCTACTGCTCTGCCAGCGTAGCCAAGATTAGCATGAAATCGGGAATGTCATCCTGCATATTACATGCCGTGGCTGAGCAGTGCACTAGAATGTAGCATTCCCCTGCATTGGGTATGTCCTGGAGCAGCTAGCCTGCCCTGCCACGATGGTAATACTGCTAGCAGTATCGGCGCTACCTGGGTACGCCTACACATGCTGTGATTACACCTCCTGACCGTGGTGTCGGCATCCCCTTTGGCTGTGCTGCCAGCATACGCAAGGGCACGACAGCTAGCAGCAAATACTTCCAATGGCTCGTGAAGGGGTAGTCAGTGGTCAAGGCTCTGAGTTGTGGCTTCTTTCCCAGGGGGTGGCTGCTGGGTTTTGTCCAAATGCCCAGGGTCTAACTCATTGCCATATATGGGGTTGGGAAGGAATTTCCCCCCGCAGATCAGAGTGGCAGAGACCTTCCTCTGCAGCACAGGGCATGGAGTCACTTGTAGGGTTAAACTAGCGTCAGTGATGGAGGTTTGGTAAGTTGTTGTCGTTAAACCCTGATTTGAAGATGTCAGTAACTCAGCCAGGTATTAGGAGCAACATTCCCTTTAATCTTTCCATCTATGTGCGGAGTAAATTTTGTTCTGTGCACTAAGGCATGTGTGGATGTGCACCACCAGTAGAAACACAAACCTAGTTGTGGGTGCTCTGCTAATCAGTGGGGCAGCATTTGAATCTCTCCTGGAGGGCTGCCCAAGTGCCTGGCTTACAGGGACCTCTGGTTAGGAGTCTGTTACAGGTGTGGGCAGGTGAGGTTCTGTGGCCTGCAGTGCGCAGGTCAGACTAGCTTGTCCCTGCAGTCTGTGAGTCTCTGAGACGGAGCCCACCAGGCCAAAGCAGGCAGGTGAGGAGTTCAGCAAGAGCCATGCTGGAAATCCTTTGGCACCTACTCTGGATTTGGGGGCCTGGCTTGGCTGGGGTGGCCTTGGGGCATCCCCAGTTGGAACCGGGGGCCTGGCTTGGACATGGGGCTTGTGCTGTAGCAGGCGCAAAGGAAGCGGAGAAGCTGTCAGAGCAGGGGACGTGGGTTCTGAGGCCGGCTGTGGCTGCCTATTGCTCTCATTGCGGGGGTGCTGGGAGCTGCACGAATCCAGGGCTCTCTCCTGGCTGCTGGACTGAGCGCCAGTGACAACACCAGCCCCAAGTGTAGCGCTGAGAGTGCACAGAGCACCTCACGGTGAAGCTCTACCCCAGACAGCTTGGGTAACACACTGGCAAAGCGCACACCATACCCTCCACTACAGGCTGGCCTGCTAGATAACAGCCTACTACTGCTGCTGCCAAGGACTGGAGCTTCTCCTGCCCAAGTGGTCAGTGCTAGAGATAGGAAGGTCCTACGGCACAGTAAAGGATTCCATGGTGCCCATCACCATAGTATCAGGGCACCTGCCATACAGATACATTCAGGCTCCCAGCACCCCAGTGACCTAGGGTAGGTTTCTTCTCTCTCCTCTAACACATCCTCCTGCCTTTGTTCTCCCTCCCCAGACCCTTTGTCACTGGCCAACGTGAGTGTGACCCGTGGACCAGGCCCCCGGGGGCTGCGCGTGGGCTGGACGGAGTCGGGCGGGGCGAGAGACCACTGGGTGCTGCTCTACGCGGGGGACTCTCCGTCCATCATCAGGAACGTGTCCGTGCAGCGGGGCGCTGCGCATCTCGACCTGGACGGCCTGGAGCCGGGGGCGCCGTACCGGGCGGAGGTCGTCTCGCAGGCCGGGCCCCACCGCAGCTCCTCCCAGGCAGTCCTCGGCTACACAGGTACAGCAGGGGCCAGGTGCTCGTGTCACCCCAGGGGGGGGTGTCAATGCCCCCCCCGCAGCCCTCCGCTGAGCCACAAGGGTTGAGCCTGGACACAGCCTGGGCTCTGCAGCTCCAGCTGTAGCAGCGTCTGGTCTGAGCTGTGGGGGTCCCTGGGGCAGCCTCACGCCGGGGTACACATTCCCCAGACTGCCTGGCTCAGGCTCCCCCCTCATCTGCCCCCCAGGGATCTCAGCTGGGTCTCTGATTCAAACCGCAGCCCCGGCTGGGCTCAGCATCCCTGACCCCTCCGATCCTTCACGCTGCCCCGGTGCCGCACGGGCTCTGGGAGGAAGGCACAAGCAGGCTCCGGGCACCACCCAGGGGAGTAAGGGGATCTCGGCGGGGGGGCCAGGAGCTGTTCTGGCCTGAGCCCAGCCTCCTGCTGCCCAGGAAGGAGTCAGAGAATGGGGTATCCCCGCCAGACATGTGCTGGCCCCCCTGGGCCGTTGAGAGCTATGGGGGTCCCCATGCTGGAGTCTGGCTGTGGAGTGCCCACGTGACCCCACGATGCTCTCTCCCTCCTAGCCCCGCTGCCGCCGCTGGCACCTGCAGCGCTGGCTGTGGGCAGGGCGGCCCCTGCCGGACAGCGAGACGCCTACCTGCTCCGCGTGCAGGAGGAGGGCTCCCTGGCAGCCGGGAGACAGGTGACCGTGGGGCAGGACAGCACCAACGTCTCCCTGGCAGGGCTGGCCCCGGGGACTTGCTACCACGTGGGGATCTCGGCACTCGCTGGACCCTACAGCTCGGAGCCCCAGAACGCCAGCGGCTGTACGGGTGAGTGGCCTGCCTGCGTCGCGCTTTGGAGGAGACACGGCACCATGTGTTAAGAGCTGATCCGCCTGGATGTCCCCCGGCCCTCGCAACTGGACACAGGAGCCTTCATTTCCCGCGCTGTTGCTGTTGGCTGTTCTGGGGCGGCTGGGCTCCTCCTCAGAGGTGGCTGCACATGAGCGCTGGGATTTTCCCTCCCCTTGTGGTTCTCTCTTGCCCTGACCCCTCCCTCTCTGCCTTTGCCCTGCAGTCCCGGCAGCTCCTGCCAACGTGAGCCTCAGCAACTTGGACAGCTCCTCGATGCTGCGTGCCGCCTGGGACGAGCCCCCGGGGTGCAGGGACCACTACCGGGTTATTCTGCACAGCCTCACGCCCCCAGGCACGGAGACAGCCCAGTCGCTGGGGCCCGACATCCAGGGCATCACCTGGACTCGCTTGGCAGCCGGCAGCCGATTCACTGTTCAGGTCACCGCCATGAAAGGGCCCTACGAATCCTCCTCCGTCAACGTCACCCAGTGGACGTGTGAGTCCGGCAGGTCCACGGTCAACACCCCCAGCTCACAGCCTGGCTCCTTGCCCCCCACTCTGCTCCATTGTGCCACCGTTGTGACATGGCCGTGAAAAAGGCTAATACAGTCTTGGGATGCATTAGGCGAGGTATTTCCAGTAGGGATAAGGAGGTGTTAGTGCCGTTATACAAGGCATTGGTGAGACCCCATCTGGAATACTGTGTGCAGTTCTGGTCTCCCATGTTTAAGAAGGATGAATTCAAACTGGAACAGGTACAAAGAAGGGCCACTAGGATGATCCGAGTAATGGAAAACCTGTCTTATGAAAAGAGACTCAAGGAGCTTGGCTTGTTTACCTTAACCAAAAGAAGGCTGAGGGGGGAAATGATTGCACTTTTTAAATATATTAGAGGGATAAATACCAGGGAGGGAGAGGAATTATTTAAGCTTAATACCAATGTGGACACAAGAACAAATGGATATAAGCTGGCTAGTAGGAAGTTTAGACTTGAGGTTAGACGAAGGTTTCTAACCATTAGAGGAGTGAGGTTCTAGAACGGCCTTCCAAGGGAAGTAGTGGGGGCAAAAGATCTATCTGGTTTCAAGATTAAACTAGATGGGTTTATGAAGGGAATGGTTTGATGAGATAACATGATCTTGGTAACTAATTGACCATTCATTATCAGTGGGAAATAGGTCAATGGAGGGATGATAGAAGTTACTATAGAGAACT